CTCTCTTCATCCTTATCAGAAGAGAATCAAGAAACCCTAATGCACTATATAAGTTGGAAGATCACATACTAGCTAATCTTAAATGATTCCAATAGCAAACTCAGGTACGCTTCTGATTTCATTCTCATCTTGAATCCAGGTACGAGTTTATAAAATATGAGTTCATAGGGATTAGTTTAGGATTGTGTTCTTGAGGTCTATATGGGTACAAATCATACAGTTGTTAGTCAGGATTTTCGACCAAGGGAAGACCCTAACAAACAAGGGGAAAGAAAAGGAGTTTTGGTTCGACCAAGATTTTGGACTTAGAGAATTTTCGGATCAGTGCAAGAAACATTTTGACACACGTATACTTTGACCATGTAGGTCTTGCAACAATGACAAATTGGTCGAAGAATCAGTTATTTAGGCGCGCCGTGTCATGTTCAGATATTAATAATTATTTGAGATTTTCTTTATGAAGAGACTCATGGAGGAAGCTCGAATATGGGTTACATGAAGAGCTTCACGTGGAGAACTCTGATGATAGAAACATTAGGGGTAGTTATTTTACACTTGTATATATAGAAGTTCATTATGTTAAACTAGGGGGTTCATTGTATAATAAAAATCTAACTGAAAAACTCAAAGTATCAGCATTAAGAGAAACGAGCGAATGACTGAGAGAATGTAAGAGCAAATGAATCACCATACTTTATTTTCAATTCAAAGTTTCTAGTTTGTTCAATTTAGCTTGATTCGTGTTCTTTACTTTCATTTTGTTTCAAGTCTTTTCATTCAACATTTCTAGTTTTGATTACTTCTTTTAAAAATTTCTAAAGTAGTCGAAGTTTTCATACATTTTTTACTTGAAATCACATTTCGACCAAGTCGAAAGCAGTTACTTGGAACTATGTCATAAGAAATAGGTTATTTGGAACTATGTCATAAGATTCACTGATTGATCCTGCAAGTAACCTTTAATTTGGAGACTAGCAGTTATTTACTATTTTTCAGCGTAAACAAATTGGCACGTCTAGTGGGACACGTGCTAAAGTTTCCTATCCTTTTATTGAATTATTTGTTTTCTTTACATTTGAAAATAATATTATATTATTAAGAGTCCTTTCTGGGTATTTTGAATGCGATTAAGGAGGGGTTAAGAATTTGGCTAGTACGTCTCGTCCTCTTGTAGATAATGTTAATCCCTATAATAACCCTCAAAACGTAGTGCAACAATCGTCCCTGTCGGCGGTTGAGGAGCCAATTCTTTCGACACCAGTTAGAAAAACTAGTCCAACGGTATCAGCGACATAGGTCGCAACGATGCCATCTCAGGGGGAGACCCCCCCCATGTCAGTAGAAATTTTGGATCTACATCTCTGGAAATACTGAATCTCTTTGATGTGCGTCTATCTACCTTTTATGATTTTTTTTGCAAAGAAGAAAAATTATCAATGAGATGTTATCGTATGGTCGCATCATCCATAAATTCTTGGGTGTAATAAGCTCTCCACCAAGTGTCAAGCGCTGAGGTGCAGTAATGATTGGTCTCAAAGCCTAAGAGGTTGAGAGTAGGTCAGTTATCGACATGTCGAGTGAATCGTTGGAGCCATTCATCCTCAGAGTAGTCGACAATGCTGAGGAATAATTCACTTTTCTTCCTAAAAAAACAGGTGAAGAATGGTTTGACTAATTCCAAAATGGCATGCTACCAGGTTAGGTTGGCAACTAAGGAATCTCACGTGATCTTTAACAGGCTCAAGTCGAACGAAAATGAGTCTAGGTGTTAGGAAAGATGACCATATCTTTTTGGAATCTTTTTCTTTTTCACTGGTTCTTGGAAGTGGTTGGGTGAACAACTCAGGTCCATGAGTCCTCTTGGCGAAAGTGACCATAATTGAGGTGAAGTTGTAACATTTGGAAAACATTGTTAAATAAAAGGCGAATGCATCCCACTCCTCCTTGCTCTTATCGGTAGGAGTCAAAAAATTCAGTCGAACACCATCAATACTTTGACCGCTGATGATTGGGTCAGTGTCGTCAAAGCCTTCGACTTTCAATGAAGCTTAGAAGGTGGCATTAAGCCACGATCGAAGGAGGTAGAATGGTCCAGCAAACAAAAAATTATCCTTTTGCTTGATGTTTCTCAGGGCTTCAGTGGCCTCTCCTAATGATGCATATAAAGACCCTAGGATCAGCTGGTTGAGACATATATTTTCCCCCTCATATAATTGGTTGGCAAGGGTCAAGTATATTTAGGGTCAAGTATTTGAAAATTTATTCTGACCAACATTTTAGACATTATGCATGATGAAAGACATGTTATGCTATACCGTAGATGGAAAGTAAAAATAAAGTCAGATGTATGAAAGTTTTAAAAATGTCTGAACAAAATTGGGGTATGACAATATTCTATACATGGAAGGAAACCGACCGTTGAAAGATTATTTTTTCACATGGAAGGAGAGAACTCGGTGTACTACAAAGACTTTGAACAAATTGACAATGTCCTTATTAAGGCGAATGTAACTAGATCCATGTTTACATTTTGGTTTGTGGCAAACAGAGAATATGGTGAAGCCAAGCTATTGACATATGGACAATTTATGTCCAAGTTTGTTTATGTCAAGAAAACAAGATGTTGGAAACCAAGGAAAAGAGGTTACACAATTGATCGCTTAATTTGGGTACCTCCAACAACCGGGTAATTATACTATATGCATATGTTGTTGACAGTAAAGAAAGAGCCTACAAGTTATGATGATCTCAAGATTGTTGAGGGGTTTAAACATGCAACTTTCAGATAAACATGCTTTGTTATGAGATTCTTACAAGATGACAAAGAATTCATTGAAGTAATAAAAGAGACTTAAAATTGGGATTCTGGTTTATTTCTCCAAAAATTTTGTGTTACCGTGTTGTTATCAGCTTCAATGAATTGACTAGATCATATATGGCATAACACTTACATATATTTTATCAGATGGAATTCTATTTGAACAAAATTCTATTTGAACAAAAGAATTTGTTTGATAATCCAAGTAATTGTAAAATTATATACAACTTCAACCATAAGTGTGTCATTTCATTTATTATTTTTTTTACAAATAACTATCAACTCTATTAACATATATGTACACATTTATTGTAGATTTATCGCTATCTCCCGAAGAAATTCAACAACTTAATTTGATGAAAATTGAAAAACAACTTCACAAAAACCAAATAAGTTTTAAAACCTTTAAACCTATGCCATATCCAAATGATTATACACTGATTTTTCTTTAAAATAGACTGATTTATGATAGAACCACGATATGATGTTGCAGCTCAGAAACTTTTATACTAAAATTTGTTTCAATCTCTCACATGTATTACAATTGCTTAGTTTATAAGTATTTTATTTATACAGAAAATTATTCAGCAATGAAATGCAGTATTTTACCAAATTATATACTGTGCTCTTCAATGCATGTCTTCAACATATTAGTAGGATTAAAACAAACTTTTATGCACTAATTTTGTCAAATAAATGCCGTTAAATATATGTCGGTTAATTATTAGGTCAAATTCAACCGTTGTTAAAGAGATTCATAAGTTTTCTGAATGAATTTTAGAAGTTGATAATGGAAAAATAATGGATATGCAAATATAACAATTCTCTCAAAATTACTTCTAACAAATTATGTGGACCCAATAAAAAAGATTGTTATAATTACTTATTCAAATCTGCTTCAAAATTTCACTAATACTACATTCCTATAAAGTATAGATGTTTTAGCTTCAACTATTAAAATAATAGATTAAATCAATGATTATATCACAAATCTTTTTTCAGTATCCATTATATGCCTCCTTTTTTCCTTTTTTTTTCCTGTGTTTTTGCTAAGTCAAAATATTCAACTATACATGTGACCCAAATGATTTTTTGAACAGCCACTCCATAACGAAGGCAAAATTAGATTGGGTACCCACACTAAAAATACTATTTACATTAATATATTTATCTTCTTCTCAATCTCCTTGCCTATTTAAAATTATTAGAAGACAATTTTCTATTATTATTTCATTTGCAATCACCATTAACAATTTTCAAGATCAATCTTAGACTGAATTGATTTATATTTGTCAAAGAATATTTTCAGTTACGAACAACTCTATGTAACAATGTCAAAAATCAAGAGTAAAACTAATCTTAAAAAATTAATTCTTGACAAAGACAAAAATCTTTTATCTCATATAATAAACCAGGTCTTTAAAGAAGTTTTTCATAATATTGTTTAAATTTTTATATATTTAATGTTTCTTACTTATTTATTTTAATTTAAACATTACCTTCTTATAATTCCATGAGGTGCAATTTCATTCCAACAACTATTTACTTATAATTTTATATGAAACTTATATAGATTAAATGGATACTTATATTTATTGATTCAGTTCATGGTTTCACAGTTTTTTAAAATTAAAATTGAGCCAAACCACATTGGGTTTTAAATGAATCAGAAAAAATCAGTTTTATTTAGTTTAATTTGATTCAAATTAACAATTTAATCTATTTTCTGATCATCTTACATCCGAAAGGAAAAAGTCAGTTTTTTTTCAGTTTAATTTGATCAAAATTATCAATTTAACCGGTTTTCTGATCATCTTACACCCACAATGGTAACAATACAGAAGCTCATACCAAGTTTAATCCACGTTGTTTTTTTATTGAAACACAGCTTTAATACTTGTACGAAGTAGTTATCATTAATACATTACACATACGATCATCACACAGCATAATAGTCTAAAATGACATGTTCTAGTTAAATACGCTATCAAAAAAATAACTGAAAGACAATGTATAAATATAAAATTATCATTCTTACAATGAATGAAAACTACGCTTAACAGTACCGAATATTGAAATACCCAAAAAATTAGCACTCTGGCTAAATCCATCAATGAATACACCAATTCAAAAATACAACATGAAAATTATACCATAGATACGAAATAAAAAGCAACTACATTTAGTCGACTTCCTCAATCTTGGGACCAGCACCACTTCCACCAGAAGGAGCATATTCTTCATCAGCCGCAGCAGCACCCATGTCTGGACCGGCACCACCTTGGTACATCTTGGCAATGATAGGGTTGCAGAGGCCTTCAAGTTCCTTCATCTTGTCCTCAAATTCATCGGCCTCGGCAAGCTGGTTGCTGTCCAGCCACTGGATAGCCTGTTCAATGGCGTCCTCGATCTTCTTTTTGTCAGCTGAATCAAGTTTACCTGCAATCTTATCATCCTTAATGGTGTTCCTCATGTTGTATGCATAGTTTTCTAATGCATTCTTGGCCTCAACCTTTTTCTTATGCTCTTCATCCTCAGACTTGTATTTCTCAGCCTCTTGAACCATCTTTTCAATATCATCCTTTGATAGCCTGCCCTTGTCATTTGTGATGGTGATCTTGTTCTTCTGTCCGGTAGTCTTGTCTTCAGCAGAGACATTTAATATACCGTTGGCATCAATGTCAAAGCACACGGTAATTTGGGGAACACCTCTGGGAGCAGGAGGAATGCCCGAAAGTTCAAATTTACCCAACAGATTGTTATCCCTAGTCCTTGTTCTCTCTCCTTCAAAGACTTGGATCAACACACCAGGCTGGTTGTCAGAATAGGTTGAGAAAACCTGTTCTTTCTTTGTTGGAATGGTGGTATTCCTTTGGATCAAAACAGTCATCACACCTCCAGCAGTCTCCAAACCAAGAGAGAGAGGGGTAACATCAAGAAGGAGAAGATCCTGCACCTTCTCATTGCCCTCACCACTCAAGATTGCAGCTTGGACTGCGGCTCCATATGCAACAGCCTCGTCAGGATTAATGCTTTTGCATAGCTCCTTTCCATTAAAGAAATCCTGCAAAAGTTGTTGAACCTTTGGAATTCTGGTAGAACCACCTACAAGGACAACATCATGGATGCTCTTTTTGTCCATCTTGGCATCTCTCAAACATTTCTCAACTGGTTCCATACATTTCCTAAAGAGATCCATGTTGAGCTCCTCAAATCTGGCACGAGTAATGGGGGAGTAGAAATCAATTCCCTCAAATAGAGAGTCAATTTCAATGGTAGTCTGGGCAGTAGATGAAAGAGTTCTCTTCGCCCTCTCACATGCAGTCCTCAATCGCCTGAGTGCCCTAGGGTTGCCACTGATGTCCTTCTTGTTCTTCCTCTTGAACTCTTGAACAAAGTGGTTCACCATCCTGTTATCGAAATCCTCACCTCCAAGATGGGTGTCTCCGGCAGTGGCTTTGACCTCAAAGATACCCTCTTCAATAGTAAGCAAAGAAACATCAAAAGTACCACCACCAAGGTCAAAAATCAAGACATTCTTTTCACCAACACTTGTGGCTTTCTTGTCTAGCCCATATGCAATGGCAGCAGCAGTGGGCTCATTGATGATTCGCATGACATTAAGACCAGCAATAACACCAGCATCCTTAGTAGCTTGACGCTGGGAATCATTAAAGTAAGCTGGGACAGTAACGACAGCATTTTTAATTGCGGAGCCAAGGTAAGCTTCAGCAATCTCACGCATCTTCATCAGAACCATTGAAGAGATCTCTTCAGCTGCAAATTGCTTATCTTCACCCTTGTAGTTAACAACAATCATTGGCTTTTCAGCGGGACCAGCAACAATCTTAAAAGGCCACAACTTCATATCACTCTGAACAGATGCATCAGAGACTCTACGCCCAATCAACCTCTTTGCATCTGTAAAAGTGAAAATCATCTTAGCATCACAAACTCAGTATCTACTCTAATCAGAGCTAGGCAGCATATAAAACAAAAATACAAAAACACAAACAAGACAATACATAATATTATACAACAAATCACGTTTCACATTACAGGACTATTATGATATAAATCTGGCTCAAAATTTGCATCATACATATCATTGATTCAACGCACTCTTAACAAACTAACTATTCAGGCAGATGCGTTTTGAACCGTAAATTTACGTATTATATTAACTTACAAGAGCAGATTAGTTACATATAAGAGAATCAATAGATGATGAACAACACAATTAACCAAAGCAATATGCTCAAACTATCGAATAGATCGAGCAGAGAGTAAAATAACTAACCGAAGACGGTGTTGATAGGGTTCATGGCGACCTGGTTCTTAGCGGCATCACCGATGAGACGTTCGGAGTCAGTGAAAGCGACGTAAGAAGGCGTGGTTCTGTTACCTTGGTCGTTGGCAATGATTTCAACTCGGTCATGTTGCCAGACTCCTACACAGGAGTAGGTGGTTCCGAGATCGATTCCGATAGCCGGTCCCTCTCCTTTTCCGGCCATTGGATTTTACCTTTGGGCTAATCGGAAATGAGAGACAGATCTAAGAAGAGAAGAGTAGTTACAGTTAGAAGTTACTTTATATAGTTAGGGTTTTAAGTCGTTCTAGAATATTCTATTACTCAACATAGCTGGATGTAGATCTAATTTTCTAGAACCCCTTGGGCGAGTAGTGGGCCTGACTATCTTAGAGCCAATGGAGTTTCTCACATATTCTCATGTCTCAGCTTTTGTTTCTTTCCCCACCTCCCTATTCCTTCGATTTTAAACTATTTCTTATCGTACTCTATATGTTTTTGATACCCTGCGTGAATTTTTAAAATGTTTTTGTTTTTGCAGATACATTTTCGTACGCATTCTAACACACACTTAATTAAAGTTATTTTAAATTATCTTTTTTGTTTACTTTATTCTGAAAATGTATCTCTAGACTATTTTCGTAGTTATATTTCTGTAACACAGACACATCAGTAGCAGAGTCATAGCCAAGTCATTTTACAAAATGAAATCAAAATTTATAACATAAAATAAGCATTACATAGATGATTTCAACATAAAATGAAACATTACACATCAATATTCAGTTGGACGATTCAACATTTTCGCAATATCTTCGACCGATTTTGATAGCGCCACTTCCAACTCGAGCATAATTTTTGTTTCGAAATGAAAATACGTATTATACATAGCTCTTACACCTGCTTACGTCTTAAGCTCGAATTTGTTGAACTCAATCTTCTTTCTGTTGACAATCGACAGTGAACGATACTCGAGCTTCACACTATTTCGATTATCTCCATAAGTTAGGAGATGATGGATTTCGTCTTTGATATATTCGAGGGAGGTGAAATGGTGAGCTTAAACTTTCACCCGAGTGTAGAGCTGGAGAATGAGACATTTACGACATACCAATAGATGTTTATTTGTGACGTTTGAGACATTTTCAATTTGTGTGGGATATAACGTAAGATCACCTAAATTTATAGAAGTCATATATCAATATGGACCATTCAATAACTGGCATATTGATTCCATAGATATATCTTCGAACAAGTTCATACTCGTTTCGGAGATACATTTTCGGACACAACACTACTTTTTTCAGAAAAAACATGATTAATGTGAGCAATACAGTGGGAAATGAAGGATCTTTACCTAACATTTTATCTTCTTTTACTCCTTATGATGTGATGAACCAAAAGAATGGAGATTTGGATTAAAAAAATGGATTGAGAATGAAGGGTTTTTTGGTGAACGGTTTGGTTGAAATACAAAAATGGCAACAATGATTGTGTGATTATGCAACTTTTTCTTTTATCAGATTATTTCAGAGATGCATCTCCGGAAATATCTGACATGCAAAGGTGACAGAAAATTTCAAAATCCTGCCCATATTTTCGTAGAAGTAACACTGGAATTTCTACTGAATTGATAAATGATTAAGTTATTTATTAAAATGTTTCAGAGATGTATCTCCAGAATACAAATAATTCAACTTATACAACGCCGTTCAGAATAACCTTTGTTGAGTGTGTAAGATGTGTGTCCGGAGATACATCTCTGAAAACCGGGGCAATTTTAAAAATTTGCATGATGCATCAAGAACATATATGATGCGCTAAGAAATAGTCCAATTTTATTGTTACGTGGTTTTAAAGATTCTATTCTAATGTATTTATTACCTCGTACCCCTACCTTTATTTCTATATCCTTACATTTTATAAAAAAACATCAACTTTGCATTTGTATATTTTAAACTAATTTACCATTTTATTTTTTGTAAATATTTGTTTAACTTTTATTTTGTGTACCTTTTTGCAAAAGAATTTTGATGGTTAGTTTTTTAACCTCTTTTATTTTTAATAAATTATTTATATGGGGTATGAGGTGAATTTTTTTTATTTATTATCTGCATTACCTAAGAAATTGTTCTGGTCTGGGCCCAGCCTCGCGGTCCAGCCCAATAACGCACAAGGCCCATTAAACAGAATGACATAACCGGGCACTCACCCCCTAGGACGGGCAGGATACGCTCTCGGCTGAGCGGGACGACACGTCTCGAAGCGCCCTCGGCGCCCCCCTTTTAGCCGAACAGAACGCCCTTCGCGGGCGACATTCCCCGTGCCATCGGGCAGGAACCCTTGGGTCTCCCACGTCCTCGCGCGCTACCCTCTGCGAGGAGAACTACGCCCTCCGAGGAACTCCGCGAGCTCCCCTCCGCGGGGAGAACAATGTGCCCGGTGCACGTTCTCCACGTGCTCCCCTCCGCGGGGACACGTCAGCAACCAACTGCCCACCTTCGAAAGAGCAGGTCAAACCCACTTTCCGGAGATCAAGGAGCAGTTGGACTAGGGCGAAGACCACGTCCTGGTCTTCACTACGCCACGTAAGCCCTAGCAGTCACCTGGGTTGGGCCTGGCAATCCAGCCCAACACAAGTGACCGTTGGCCCAGCGTTGGGGTCTCTCTATAAATACCTTCTTCCTCAAGAGGGTCAGGTAATTCACTTCTTACCCTTTTTCTGTACTTTGCTCTCGCTCTGCCCAGCTCCTCACTTTGGCATCAGAGTGTTTTGCAGGTACACCCCCCCCTTCTCCTCCTCACCACCGGTGAACAGGTAGCAGTCCAACAGCGTGTGGCCAGCCTGTGATCCCCTTCTGATCAGGTCAGATCAGAAATTAATTTGAAAGTTATTAAGTTTGACAACAATATCATCATTATAAACCTATATGATATTGCTATATGATATTACTATATGATATTGCTAATGAAGACCTATATGATTTTGCTAATGATGTCATAGAAGATGATATTCATGGTCCTTTGAAAAATCGTGTATGCATTCTTGAGTCTAAGCCATGACCTTCCACTTATAGATTCTAAGATTTCCTAGACACATGAAAACAGTCTTGTGAGTAGGACAATTCTTACATAATCACGAAGATAACAAGTGTTTTTACATACAACCAATTATAATTTTGTTATTAATTAAAAAACAAAATTCTCTCTTTCCTTGTCACAACCACTCCATGATTTCAATTAAAAAAGAAATTAAATTTTAAATAAATTAAAAAAAAAATCTCTCTTAATTGGTTGTTTTTAAGAATATGAATATAAGTTTGTTTTCAAGCAAATATTTCTCCTTGTTGGTATCTTTATCTTCCCTGGCTATAATTATATGTTTGTAACCATATTATCCTTCCATTAATGTTAGAATTACATCTCTAGTGGCAACATCAACTAATGTAATTACTACTAGCATTCTATAATAATTTTTTGGAGTGGCCATGATTAAGTTTCTATACTCGATACAAACTTCAATCTAACCATTCTTCTTGATAACATGCACTGTGTTAGATAATTATATCTAGTAATTCAGATGAATAATGCGTCGAGAAGCCTTTATATGTGCGCTTTGATTGGAGGTGTTAATTTAAGATTACATCTTCTTAGAGTTTATTTGTATGCTCAATGCAAACTTTAATCCGACCATTATTCATGGTTACATGCATTATTCTAGATAATCATGTGACGTATCTAATCATCTGAATGGATAATGTTTTGACAAGCCTTTATATGTATGCTTTGATTTGAGATATTAATTTAATATTTACTCTTATTGGAGGTTATTTGTATGATAGATCATTCCTTAATCAATAACTTATGTTCAACTAACTTCCTATCCAAACCATACATCTCATGATAGATCTATGTGAAATAACTTTTTACTTAAGTTAGTACCCCCGCTAAATATAGTCATTCTAGGCTCCTCAAAGGTTACCATGTTGACTTTGATCTGCAGGTCTTGTTATTTAGCCTTTTGTAACTCCCTTTGAATAGGTGATTCAACTTTATGATCATTGATACCTTCAATCAAACTCACATGTACACCTTATACTTTCATTTGTTATTCAATTTCATCACCTAAGAACATATTATCCAATACTTTAGCCTTGAATTCTTGCGACTCTAATCGATCTAATAAGTCCCTTAGTTTAATGGCGAACTATTCTTCAAGAACCTCATTAAAAAAAATGTGGATTGACTTGATATTTCAATTAACCATTATTAGTGAGATTTTGGGATTACAGGTTTACTTCCTCATATTGATTGGGAATTATTATGGGGATTAGGCGAGGTGGGTAGAATAAGGCTTCAAATATTTTGGCGAGAACATATGTTTTTGGTGGAGTGTAAAGGATACACATTCATCAATATCAATCCAATTTATGCCCATAATGACAAAGATTAAATCTTTCTATCTGTAACATATAAGGCTGACCTTACTTCTTTGGAACCTACCATGAAATTGGCTATGAGAATTATAATTGTATTAGATGATACATCCAATAATCTAGCCATTTTCATATTTCTTGGGATCAAGTCTTCCATATTGTTATCCAACTTATTTAAAGTCATAAGTAGTATAAAATATATGACAACCACATCATCAATAAAGACTTGACTAAACATTTTCCCATTTATTATAGTTTTAATGAATAAAGGCTTTACATGTTTAATCATATTTTAAGTGAGTTATCAAACAAAGTACATTTATTTTATATACATTCGAATAATGTAGCACATTTAGTATCTTCAATAAAGACATTTTCTTCAAGTTTCCTTAAACGATGAAGGAAAAGATAATAATCCTTTTTTTTCTTTCTATTTATGATGTTCAGAAGAAGGCTAACGTGTAACATCATAAGTTTAGATGTTATTTCCTTTAAGGATTGTGATAAGGTCACTAATACTTAATCAATAAATACTATATATGATTCATTGTGCCTTAACTATGAAGGAAACAAATAGGTGAAAGAATCCAAATCAAATGATTTGATGAAGAAGTATGAGTTGTTCAAAATGGAAGAAGACAAAAATATGGAGATCATGTTTTCTAGATTCCAAACTTTAGTCTATGGACTTAAAGTTTTGAACAAAATTTATACCAGTGCATATCATGTTAAGAAAATTCAGAGGAGTCAGCCAAATAAATGGACACCG